AAATAAATAAATAAATAAACTAACTTTAAAAAAAAATACTAGTCACTCCTAATACGTAAACAGGCTTTTGTTGTGTGTACTTGACACTAAACCCAGGACCTTCACCCAGCTCATTCCCAGATCTTTGATTTTTTTCAGTTTACAGTGAAGTCTCACTACCCCCACTATGTTGCCCAGCCTGAACTCTAATTTGGAGTCCTCCTGCCTCAGCCCCCGCAAAGTGCTGGTGTTGCAAGTGTGCAGCACCTTACTTAGCACAAACAAGATTTGAAAGGCATTTTATTTCAAACCATTTTTAAGGATAGCACTTAAAAATACTAAGTGCATATATTAGGAGAAACCCTAATAGCCTAAGAACCAATTCTTAATATACAAAGTCCAGTTCACATCCTCTCTATGGATTAATATACCATGCTGAACCTCTTAATAACTGAAATGGTTTCTAACTATTTTCCAAAGGGTAATCTACAAATTTCTGGAAACAGGTTTTCTCCCCAATCTATCAATTATGATCCATGCTGCACTAAGAGGCCTCCAGAAAAAACAAGAATTCTCTTCTGCGTACAGGAAGAAAACTACCTAAAATCAGCAACTAAGAATCACCCAAAGACTGGGCCCGCCAAATACCTCAGGAGATTAAAGTGCCTGCTTAGGCACAGCGCAGCAGCCAGGTACAATCTTGATCCCGGGATGGAGACTGGGCGTGGTGGCGTACACCTGTAATCCCAGCACTTAGGAGGCTGAAAACGGAAGAATCACTACAAGTCTGATCTACGTAGTGAGACCCTGTAGACCCTACACTAAATACATTTAAAAAAAAAAAAAAAAAAAATCCAAAGGCTGACTATAAAACTTTCTGAAATAATTCATGTCAAGGCTGGAGAGACTGCTTGACGGTCTGAGTACCTGCCTGGCAAGCTCAAGAACCCAGGTTTGATCCCCAGTACCACATGCTGTGCCAGCACAAGCCAAGCCAGCCACTGAAACCAGGTGTGATGGCACATGCCTGTAATCCCAGCACTGGGCTGAGACAGTGGCTTAAGCACCTGATTGGCAAGCACAAGGTCCTAAGTTTGACCCCCAGTACCTCTCACCCAAAAAAAGACACATATAGGATAACACAGACAAAGACAGAATCTCTTTTGGTCATTTGGTGGCATGAAAGACACACCACTGGAGACATTTTAAGTCTGTAGGTATCCTTGCCAGTCAGGGCACTGGCTAATTCACAGGTCAATTCTTGTACCTCTCACCCAGCCTCTCAAAGACCTTAGGCCTTGCTCAGTGTTCACAGAGTTAAAAACAGTATCAAGTCCTCACGGTACCTGTCTTCTAAGTCAGTGGTAGTAAAGAGATGGAGTTATCAAGTGCAGCACAAACACTATCAGGGGCTTTCAGGGAGGGGGGCTTTGCTGTCAATCACCTCAAACTAGTCATCAGCCCTAAAAACATCACTTTCCCCAATTCATTTTTGTGATTGGTAAGCAGAGGAAGGAGCAGAGAAAATAATAGGAGAAACTAAAAACATTTCATGACATGATTTTTAAATTTTTTCAGTCTCACCTTTCAAGACTTAATGTTATTCCTCACAGACATGTTTTCTATTGTTTATCCCAGACTAAGTTTTCATACTAAAAAATCAAGATGCTGTTTTCTGAAGTTCTGATTCTCCATACATCTCGACTAGGCAAAAAGCAAACTGCAACTATCTCTAGATGGCTAATTCCAGACTATCACTAAATTATAGTCAATCTTCATTTCACTCAAGAAAATTCAAGCTCCGTTAGAAATCCAAAGTACCCTACCACTTGCAATTCGCATTATTTTTAACAATGAAATTACCGTAAATTGTATATAAGCTAAAAAATGCATACTGTGAGAAAATCCTGCTCAAATTTGTATGCTCCACCTCCAGTGGCACAAAAGACCGTGTGGAGACTCGAGAAGTTTTTATCTCTGCCCATTTGAATAAAAGCAGGCATGTCATGAGTAGGAAAGCGTATAAAGTGCAGATTGCCTTTGCGTCCACACAGAGTCAGGTCCTTCAGCTCGAGGTGAACATCCCGAATGCCCGTGGACCCATAGGCCACATTGGAGGTGAGGTACTTCCGAATGCTTCTCAGACTCTCCACTTCCTCTTCTTCTTCTTCAGCAGTGATGTCTTTGGGTTCAAAATAAACCAGCTTGACCAGAGTTCCACCAATATCCAAGCCAAACCATGGAAAAACTAAACGAGAGAGAGAAGAAAGTCAAAACAGCTTTTTTCTACTAAGTTTACACTTACTAGGTACTAGATTGACAACTCATTTCATAAACTCTGGTTTCGAAACAATTCTAAACAAAAACATTTTTGGAAGAAGTTTGAGGCCAACATGGTGGCATAAGCCTGTAATCCCGACACTCATGAGGCTGAGGCAAGAGGACTGTTGAATTGGAGACCAGCTTGGACTACAAAGTGAGCTCAAGGCCAACCTGAGCTACATGAGACCCTGTCTCAAAAAGAAAAAAAAAGAGGAAGGGTTTTTTGTTTGTTCGTTTGTGTGGTACCAGGGATGGAACTCAGGCCACTGAGCTATATCCCCAGCAAAAAAAAGTTTGATTCCAATTTAGAAAAAAAAAAAACTAGGACAAAAATCAAAAAGAAAAATATTCAAGTATCAAGCTAGCTTAACTTTCCT